CGAGGTGTCACCATCGCCCAACCTGAATTTATGGATATACACAATATTCCAATCAACACGTATATTATAATAAATCTGTTGATGTTTTTATACATGTATTCCGTCTTTGCGTATTGCAGAGTTATCGTCTCTTGGGAGCAGGTATTGATTGTTTGTGAGAGTAACGTCATCAATTTTTGAGAAAACGGCGTAATTTTCTCACGCAAACCAATGACGTAACAATCACCACCTGCTCCCAAGAGAAGATAACTCTGCAATACGCAAAGACGGAATACATAACCCGATGATTAAGCTCAATATCTAGGCTTACAAATCTACATCATGAATCATATGAGACACATTCAAACTCTTCCAGTTCAAAGGTTGGAATAGTTCATTATGAAATTTCAGGGGTGAATGAGTTGATAGACATCCAATAAAACATTTGGCCAGTTTATTTTTATCCCTAAACAAAAGTTTATGACCTATACATGTATATGCCTCCGAAGCATCATAAAAAAGAGATAGACCTGGGGCGTATACGGGAACGTTGACGAGATGAAATACGGTATAATTAACTTAGAGTGTAAAAACAGCAGAGAGGAGGTGTCAAATTGAAAAATTCCGATATTGATTGAACAGGATTCTGATATTTTGGTTCCCCGCACTGTATCAACAAACAAACACACTGTTTTGTGACTGGAGAATATATTTGTACCTCTGGGGATGAGAATATAGTCACTGCAGGGAGTTTCGTACCAAATTCTAAAATTTAAATTTATTTAAATTCCTGCAAGAATATGAGTAATTTATATAAATATTTCTTGAATGTGGTCATTTCGAATCTTGTGAAGGACATAATATTTTAACGTCGGTTTTAACAATTATGAAAATATCAATGATTCCGATTCAACCGTAATGCATCATTAAGTCGATATGAAGCTTGTTCAAGTCCAGGGGAAACCTGATTAATTTTTTTTAGTGGTTGGTCTATCACTTGTGTCATACGAGAAGAGCTTTTACCAGGGCCACTATTATTAAATGTAAATCTGTTGTTGTGATGTATGAATCGCCATGGCGATATCGATTTGTTCAGATGAGGATACGGTTACAGGTTTTATCTGTGTGATAATTACTTACATGATCTGCTCGGACAAATTACATAGGTACTGTATGCATATGTTAGGAGTAGTTTTTACGATATATACGGTAGTTCACGTTTTATTCTAACTTTGATTCCGATGCCCACACGTACAAGTGCTAAATGTGATAAAAGTTTTAAAGATGCACACTTGTATTTATCTAACATGAGGTTGTTTGACCTCTGAGTTTCACAACTGTTTATCAATTTTATACTTGCCATCTATTTGAAACTCCCATGGGGGAGATTCTGCATGCTCAAAATTAAAACCTGAATAAAATGTGTGTATATACCCAATAGAGACAAATCAAAACGACTCTTTAAAAAAATATATTCTGAGTTGTTCTTTCGGTTGAAACCATTACATCTTAGAAAATAGGAATAGTTTAGCGAATTTGCTGTTTGAAAAAAAAATGAATTTAAGGGTCCAAAATCGGGAATCTCCCTCAAATATATATATATATGGAGGGTTGGCAAGCATGCAATTGTATGGAAATACCTTATTTCATGTTTTTTTCATTGGAAACCATTATTGAAGTTTAAAAAATGTTTCTTTAAATTTAGGTAACACCATGCATGCCAGCAATGCTTTCCATTGGGAAACTGAGGTTATTGGAAAATTTCCTTAAATTAAGGAGCAAAATTCTTGAAGTTCAAGGACTTAATCTGTAAAATCTATAAATGCATGCATATTTTAAATGACCCGGTAATTATTGTGGGTCAATGGAGTGATTTGTTGATTGTCAAGCCGTCAAAATATTTAAATAAGTTTTTGTATAAAATAGGTTATGAGGGACCAGCTGTTTGGGGTCCAGTATTTCAAAGGAAATATCTAGTATCTATTTACTTAATTAGCTTAACAGATATCGAAAAACTTTTATTTGATTTCAAATATTTGGACTAATTAATTTTGTGCGGTAACTCCTGTAGCTAATTTTCACTTTTATTCTAATAGTGAAACATTTCTGTAGATGTATTCAAACTATTTCAAGTTTTTATTGATTTTGTTGTTTTGCCTTATTCCATCTTACTTCAAAATTCTCTATTCCCGATAACGAAACATCTATCAGTATATCTGTGTTATAGGTGAAGCCAATCTTCCTATTACATAAGTGGGACATCTGTCAGTGTTATAGGTGAAGCCAATCTTCCTATTACATTAGTGGGACATTGTCTGTACTCGTCCTTATGGTGAAATCATCTAAACTTGGCCTGTCCTTAATATATAAATGACCATATATATATAGCTGTTAATAGGACGAAAAACCCAAACAAACGAACTCTTCTGATTGTCTGAAACCATTCTTTTGCGATCAAAACTCTAAAAGGGCCGTCTCTCAAGACTATGTGCATACATATATGTAATGAAGTAATAAAAATAAGAATACAAAAAAATATTCTAAAATTGGTCATAAAAGGAAAAGAAAGAAAAAGGATAAATAAAATGAGAAAGCTGTGTCGGGCATAATTACAATGAAGTAGTTTGTTAATTAGATCTTCGTTTCCTGTAGGTATGAATTATAACACACCTGTTGTCAGGTGATTTTGTTATGTAATAAGTCGCCAACACAAGTGTGAATTACTGTGATGCAATTGTATGAGGTTTAACCCTTTTACCCCTATATAACTTCAGTAGACTGTATACCATGTATCGATCTTGATGAGTCCATTGTGGTCTACAGGGGTGAAAGGGTTAAAGGAAGTGGAATGTGTGCATGTACGCAGGGTGATTGATCAACGACATGCTTCATTCAGAGCTTTGTGGGAGTGTTCTGTAAAAAAGTGAAAACGTGAATCACGATCATATTCATGATACAGTATAGGCAACTTAGTTGGGTTAATACATATAATCTCTCCTGAAGACGCGAGACTCTGCATCACAGAGTATATTTTGATTGAACTGTGGTGCATATACTATCATAAATTGAACTGCTACATACAAACATGCTGGTATATATATTATTGTCCACTGATACCCGATCCTGTTCACAATCGATCCCTACAGGCCCTGCGGACCTGTTGTTAATATATTGTTGGGATCGGACTATGAATGTAAAGATATCTGTAACCATGCTCGTATATTGAATTGTCCACTGATGCCCGATCCTGTTAACAATTGATCCCTACGGGCCCCACGGACCTGTTGTTGATATGATGTGTGAATCGGCCTATGAATATGAAAATTTCTGGTTAACATGCTGGTATATAAAATTTTCCGCTGATACCCGATCCTGTTAACTCATTCACCCTCTACGTTTTTAAACTGGACTTACCCAGTCTTTGATATGGTAAGGTTCCAATGTGATTTAAGCGGGGAATGGGTTAACATTTGATCCCTACAGGCCAGATGGACCTTTTGTTGATATGATATATGCAATTAGCTGCCAACCCTCCTTCATTAGGAGGGAGACTCGCTCATTTTGACCCAAATTTACCAATCTCCCTCAAACCTCCCTCATTCAGGTGCAAACTCACACAAACTCAAAATCTACATCCTGTGGTCAAATTATCTCCTAGTTGCTGTAGGGTGTGTGTAATGATCATAACAGGTGTGTCCAAATCAAATGAATGCTTTTTGGAGTTATTTTGATACAGAAAAGGGAAAGATAGATGCATGAGCAAAGCAGTTTCAGTCATGTTTCACGCCCTTTCTCACTCATTGGAGATTGAAGGCATGAGGGAGAGCTCCCTCATTCCTTCAATCTCAAATGAGGGAGATCTCCCACATTGGAGATTGAAGGAGTGAGGGAGATCTCCCTCATTGGAGATTGAAGGAATGAGGGAGATCTCCCTCATTGAAGATTGAAGGAATGATGGAGATCTCCCTCATTGGAGATTGAAGGAATGATGGAGATCTCCCTCGAGCTCATTGGAGATTGAAGGAATGTGGGAGATCTTCCTCATTGGAGATTGAAGGAATGAGGGAGATCTTCCTCATTGGAGATTGAAGGAATGTGGGAGATCTCCCTCATTGGAGATTGAAGGAATGAGGGAGATTGAAGGAATGAGGGAGATCTCCCTCATTGGAGATTGCATTGGTTGACACCTATGTGTAGATTGTAGATCGTGCTGTCAATGTGATGATATCTGGTAAACATAGTTATACACACTGGTAGATAATTTGTCCACTGATCCTGTTTAGAGCTGTATATATACATGTATATATTGTGTTGTAATTGATATAGGACGGACCACACCCACTGATATATATACTGACGTTAAGAGATCTCCACTATATGTGTTGTGTATCACAGCTATGTGTCTGTGTGGCCGATAGATTTCATTATACTGTTAACTACAGTTTGTATGATAACTGATAGGTTTTTAAGAAATTTAATGAGTCACAGTCATGAATATGGAAGTGTTTTTTAGTCGCCATTTACATTTATTATCATAGTGAATAGTACTATTTGAAAATATTGTATGTAAAATACATGTGTAAGTATCTTATGGGGTTATAAGTTTGAAGTATCTGAAAACACCCGGTGCTATATGCCCATGATATATAGGGGAGAAGCACACACCCTTTCTCTTAACTACACTGACATTGGGATATAAGCCCAGCCCCCTAGCATTAGATTTGAAATTAATAACTCAGCAGGACTATGTTTTTGTGGTGAACAAATTGCTTCTTTTTTCCGGTATTGTTTTACACACTTGATCTATTGTCAAGGTCACACGTATCAGATATATTCAAAGCTGAAAACAACATCTTCTAAATTCGCACTGACATTATATAATCTTGGGCAGATGTAATTTGAAATGTGAAATTTTGGACGGCAAATTGATATAACATTAATTATAACAGCATGACCTTGAAGAAACTCGGTGAATATATGTGTAAATATATTATATGGATATTTTTGTTGTATCTTTATAGATGCAGAACGCCTAGATGATTATATTCACCATTATGAAAAGCTTACATACAGTCCCGACACTCTACACCAGCGCCATCTACGGGCCAAACGCTCCCTCACCGACCAATCGCTGGTGCTACGTTTTAAAGCCTATGGCAAGTGAGTATCATTATGGGACATTTCACCCCTCCGTTTTTAAAATGGACTTGCCCAGTCTTTGATTTGGTAAGGTTCAAATGTGACTCTAGGGGTAAATGAGTTCATGTCTTCGGGAATGGCCTTTTTACCTATTCAAGTATAATATTTAACAGAATTTCTGATATGGGACTTATTCCTCGCGATCAGAGGAAGCTGAAATCAGTGGTTGTATTGGTAACTCTTTGTTACGTCCACTGACCTATTGATCTACACAAGTGATAACATTTTTTATTATTTTTTCATATTATTCCTGACAAGTGATTGGCCATGCAGAAGAGAAGTACTGCATCACGTGTCTACCGATAAAACCTATATTGACTTGGAGCATGTGATTTTTGTTCAAGGATTGGCCGTGTTTCTAGGAATAGAATTATGCTGTGTCTCCAAACAAAAGCACCGTCCGGCCCCATAGCTTTTTTATGAGTTTTTTTTTCAGATTGCTTACATTACTGTTTTGAAAATTATTAAACAAATGTAGCCTTTAACTTCGATCGATGCCTGGATTTATTGACCCGAGAACAGATATATTGACCGAGGACGCGGTCGGAGGTCAATATATCTTTTCTCGGGTCGATAAATCCATGTATTGACCTCAGCCAAAGGATATAATTGAATAGTTAAGCAAATCTTACCAGATATTATTGATACAGTATACACAATTTTCTTTTCAGAAATTTTGACCTTCAGTTAGAAAAAGCGAAGAGCATATTTGCACCTGATTTTAAACTGCAGCATAGGAATGGCAGTAAAATGGCGGTGGACACCTCATTTATATACGAAGGCACCGTATCAGGTAGGTCATGGTCCGAGTCGGTCCTCCTCACAGTTTTAGGGGCTGTCCTACCAGGTAGGTCACGGTCCGAGTCGGTCCTCCCCAAAGTTTTAGGGGCTGCCCTACCAGGTAGGTCACGGGCCGAGTCAGTCCTCCTCAAAGTTTTAGAGGCTGTCCTACCAGGTAGGTCATGGTCCGAGTCGGTCCTCCCCAAAGTTTTAGGGGCTGCCCTACCAGGTAGGTCATGGTCCGAGTCGGTCCTGCTCAAAGTTTTAGGGGCTGTCCTACCAGGTAGGTCACGGTCCGAGTCAGTCCTCCTCAAAGTTTTAGGGGCTGTCCTACGATGTTTGTACATGCAACTTAAGGTCCAGAGTATAGAATCTTGAAATCTGTTGATAGGTAAGTATAGGACTCCGATTTCAAACTCTGTTTATGAGGAACATGTACTGCATGATCATTGAATAACAGGTGAGTGAGACAGGCCCAGTGGGCCTCTTGTTAACTTCTTTAATATTCCCAGGTACATAATAAATAGGGAGCCTGACATTCGGCTACTCATTTACAGCTGAGTAGACTGGAACAAGTGGAGTAAAGTAACTTGCTCAAAGATACAACACAGTGCTGTGCTGTGACTCAAACCCGCAACCCTTTGGTCAAGAGTGGGCGCCCTACCACTAGACTACCGTCGCTCCTATTCTAACTGATGACACCGCGGTGGCCAAATGGTTAAGGTGTCTGACATTCTACGATCACCAGCCCTCCACCACTGGGTTGCGGGTGTGAGACCCATGTGGGGCAGTCGCCAGGTACTGGATGTAGGTCGGTGTTTTTTTCTTGGGGAACTCCGGCTTTCTTCCACCACCTAAACCTGGCATTTCCTTAATTGACCATAGCTGTTAATAGGACGTAAAATACAAACAAACCAAAGCCTCAGAGTTTTATATCAAGTCACAGTTATCTGCCTTTAATACTCTTCATGATCGTGTCCGACTAATGGAAATTTGAAGATTTGCTAAATTCAACATCTCAAAATCAATATTTTTCTGAAAGACACAAAACGAATACTTAGATGAATATTTTTTGAAATTATGATGCTTTAAACATTTTAACCCTTGATATGTCGATCCATATACCTTTCAGAATATTATGTGTATAGTATTTTACCCGACTTTTATATATGACGGCATGACCTATCAGGTAAGTAACGGTCCAAGTTCAATCTTCCTTAGTTTTATACCAGGTCCCATTTATAAGTCCGTGATACTTGTGTCCGATTAGCCGAAATTTGAAGATTTGTTAAATTCAAAATCTCTAAATCAATATTTTTCTGAAAGTCACAAAACCAATGCAAAACTCATTTTATATAAGAATCAAATGTTTATAGAACCTTTCAGAATATTATGTGTATAGTTTAATCTCTTGAAGTTCAATGAATTTTAATATTCTATAAACCTGTGTAAAGATGTAATTTCTTAATCTTTTCATGTTCAGTGAATTTAAAATTCTGTGAACAGGTATAAATATTGTTTCTAAATCTCTGCAGTTTAATTAGATTTTACAAATCTTCTTTATTTGGTTATAAATCTAAATAAAATGCTTATAAATCGCACTAAAATTGAAAAAATCTGACGCTATGTATCTCCTGAAACTTTAATCTATAAATCTATAAATTGCAGCCTTAAGTTGTGATTGTTAAGTGAAGCTGTTTGACAACAGACTTCAACAAGATGACCCTACTTGTCAGACGTACAGTTAGCGTGTTACGCTACCACGCCCCTGACTCGCGAGCCGACAAGGAGAACACTTAAACTCGAGTGTTTATATCCTTGTAAACAGATTCAGAAGAAACAGCCTTACAAATGTCAACTTCACACAGACATTTTTGAGATTTTTCTGATATTTTGTGTAACAATATACAACCTTATTCACATAATGCACACAAAAACAATTTGTTACACCATTTTAAACAGACATTATATAATGTTAGAGATTATGGGCTGATAAATAAAAATTTATAGAATCCATTTTTATTTTCCTTTGATGTATATATTACATGTTTTACAGCTGATCAAAAAATTTAATAATAATAATTAGAGGTTCCTATATACCGCTTTATCACAACCTAGTTCGTAGGTCGTCTCAAAGCAGTTCACAAGTTATTATCCGTGGTTATAGGGCCTTTGCAACCAGCCAATATCTTTCTCAACTCCCTGGGGAGCATACAGCTGGTGCTGCCATTTCGGTGCTCACATTTCAACATTTCTAGCACTGCCCTGAACCACATACTCATTTACAGCTGTGTAGACTGGAACAAACGGAGTAAAGTATCTTGCTCAAAGATACAACACTGTGCCGTGACCTGATTCGAACCCGCAACCTTTCGGTCACGAGCCTGGCGTCCTACCACTAGACTGCCATGCCTCACAACCCTTCGTCACGAGCCTGGCGTCCTACCACTAGACTACCGTGCCTCACAACCCTTTGGTCACGAGCCTGGCGTCCTACCACTAGACTACTGTGCCTCACAACCCTTCGGTCACGTCCCCGGCATCCTACCACTAGACTACCGTGTCTCACAACCCCTCGGTCACGAGCCTGGCGTCCTACCACCAGACTACCGTGTCTCCCGTATTATTTAGTTATCAGTTGTGGTAATAGAGTGTGCTTTGTCATAGATGAGAAACATGGAGTCACATGTTTGGGATAATTCTATATGAAAACACTTCAGTACCAGTACGTGTACACGAAGAATGAGTTTCTGTTTGCTTTTGAATATGATTTCACTTAAAAGTACAGATCTGATGAGACCTTGGGAGTGCTTGAATATTATAATAATTATACATTTATAAAATATTCCCCTGTCTGTTTCTCTGATATATGCAATATAATGAAACCTGTCAAGAAAAGCCTTCCATAATTTGTAAATCACATTCTTATGTAACCTCCAGACACCAAGGAGTATAAATTTGCCCTTCACATTATTACTTCTGAACACAAAAGAGTATAAATTTGCCCTTCACATTCTTACCTCCAGACACAAAAGAGTATAAATTGAACTTCACATTCTTGCCTCTGAACATAAAAGAGTATAAATTTGCCTTTCACATTATTACCTCCAGACACAAAAGAGTGTAAATTGCACTTCACTTTCTTACCTCAAGACATACAATATAAGAGTATAAATCTAAATGCACTCAAATAAAGGTATGTGTACAGTAAACATGAGTATAAATATGCAAGACCACACACTTGTGTTTTTCTAACGAATCAGAAAGCACGAGTTTATTGCGTGGACGAATATATACGTCCGCGCAATAAATGAGTGCTTTCTGATTCGTAAAAAAAACACAAGTGTGTGGTCTTGCTTTTGTCACATATACCTTCCGTATTTGGTTGAGATCGATACAAAGATTTTATAAACTTTGATATTTTTTGCAAATACCGGGAACTTTTCGGTTCGCCATGACAAGGGGATTCCCATAAAAGGTAGTTCCGGCTAATAGGTAAATACAACATTCCGTATTGCACAATTGTGCAATACAGAACGTCGTATTTCATGGTTTGAAAATTGCTTGTATAACTATAACAGAATTCAACAGGTATGTGATAATATGAATGTACTGCTATTTTCACAGTACTTAGTTAGAAGAAAATTGCTCCAAAACTAGGATCGATCATCATTGCTTTTAGCCGTAACTAAACTTGAACATTGTATTGTATATAACACTATTTGTTACAGGCGTGCCGGGGAGTTTTGTCCATGGAGCCATTGTTGAGGGAGTGTTCCGAGGTTTTGTCGTCGTCCCTGGTGACACAACATACCACATAGAGCATTCCCGGAGATTCTTCTCTGATGAAAAGCCATTCCATTCTGTCATCTACAGCGAAAAACATTTGAATATGGATCCATACAAGTAAATAATATTAAAAGAATTCAATTATTGGAAAAATACTTTTTTCATTTTAGTTCATTTGATTAAAGAAATACAATAAAACCTGTCTATAAAGGTCACCTTTCTTCAATTACCACCTGTAAACACCTATACATTGTAACTCAGATTCTTACCTCCACACATAAAGAGTAATAATGACACCTCACTTTCGTACCTCCACACATAAAAGAGTTTAAATTACGTATACACTTCCCTTTCTTACCTCCACACAGAAAAGAGTAATATGAAAACAGGCATTGCCTGAAATGAGCGAAGTGTCTAAATGCTGTTTTTTCAATCTTATTTTCTAAATAACATTATTTAAAACATTATCTATTTATTTGTTTTATACCGATAAAGCAATCAATGTAAAATAAATAATAAGTAATAAAAAGCATTCGAATGAATTATGCAGTTCAAGAGAAAACACAAATGCTTTTGGTACTGTTGCATTTAATTGCCCCGTCTATGGCCTCAGCGTAATGTTGCGGAAAGAGTGAGGCCCAGTAGAGGGACTACATATTTGAAGATGTATTGTTTATCAAATATAACTGTTATTATCTGTATAAGAAAAATATATTGGTGATTAAATTCCAATTTAATTTTCCGACATGATATACTTTGCCTGATCCCTCTAAATTGTGTAACAAAAGGATCACAATAGCCCAAACATATCCGGATTTCCGTCTGGTTTGGTAGTAACTATATACGTCCGGTTTAGGTGGAGAGAAGAAAAGACAGAAAATTTGGAAAGAAGCTTCAATTTCTCCAATTTTTAATGTCATGAATTTACATAACCACAGAAAAAAATTAACAAATAAAGAGATGTTTTTAAGAATGTTTGGAATCTAAACAGCATTGTAAAAATAGGATTGTAGTAACTCTGCTATAGCTACCTCCGTGACGAAGGTTTTTTGATCGCCTAGCATATCGACGTTAACCATGACTTCATTTTTTACGTTCATGTTACCGGACAAGAGCTTTTCTCTCGTGACTTTGCCGCGAGGCGAGGTTCGCTCTTATTAATTGCATTTCACTTTCTTACCTCCACACCTAAGAGTAAAATCAAAACCTTACTTTTTTACCTCCAGACACAAAAGACCTGAGGGAGCTGGTACATGCGCCCTTGAACAATACAAGGACCAGATGGAAGAATTAGCCTTTAAACCTCTGGAGAAGTACGAACACAATATCAAGGTAGATTTTGTACTGAAAGTGAAACATATCGTATTATTACGTCTTTCTTAGAGCGTGTCTGATTGGATGACACTGGTCACATGACGGGGAAATAATATATCATGTCACCCTCACCTGGTCAATTTTCACTGATCTTATTCGGAGCATTTCTTGAAAAATTGACAGGATCCACCACAACTAGTTCTGAAGACAGAAGCAGACGACAACAATGGCGAGTCAACCTGTCTCGACTATTGTGTTACTGTTTTTGATTGATTGTTTGAATTTTTGACATAATAAAATGAAAGCCCTCGTAAAACATAATAAATCGAGGAGAAACAACTGATTAGAGATGTGGCAGTTATTAGGTGGGAGTTCTCAAGTGTGGAAATGTTCGATTTGTGACTCTTTAACTCATTCACCCCTGAAATTTCACAATGAACTATTCCAACTTTTGAATTTGTTGGAAGCGTTCAAATGTGTCTTCTGGGGTGAATGAGTTAAACTGGTTGCAGTGTTGAAATTTTCATTCTGGCAAATGGTTCTGAAATCTGTGTATCCTATGGATTTATAATCTGTATATAATCAATATATTTATATTCAGATGGGGATAGTCTTCTACCTAAACTGTACAGTACAAATCTTTCCAATTTTGTGAATATGCTACTATAGAGTTTTACGAATCAGAAAGGTTCCGATAGTAATGTTCTGTGTTTCATCTCCAGGCCGCGCTACTGAAACAGGAAATGGAGCACTATCGTAGCATGTACTCACGAGAACAGAATACCGCTAACCAGGAATCATCCCAGGGGCGCCATAAACGTGATACACTGGGCCTACAGAACACATGTTATATGTATCTACGGTCAGACCCAGTCTTATGGGAGCTTTATAAAAGCAAGGGAGTGGTAAGTATGCATGCAGTGGTTTTTTAGGGGGTTTTGTGTTGTGTTGGGTTGGGGGGGTGGG